TTATTTCTTTCAGCAGTGGCTTCAACAGTGTACAAAAGTGCGCAACATTTCTTGTTGATTCCCATTTAACGCGACATACGCCCTTGTTTGAGTGGGGGCAACTGACTGACTGACTGTCGGGAATGATGCTCAATGCAACAACCTAAGCTCCGGTAAAGGTGAGGCCAGACACCGACAGCAGCAACAGCAATAGCAAAGAATTCGAATGCGAATGCACCTATGCGGGAACTGACTGTTTGGCCAACACACACACACACACACACACACACACACACACACACACCGGTCTTTGCCATCATCACCAGCACAAAGCCAAGAAAACAGCCAGCACAACTTTTTAGCTTTTAGCATTCATATGGCCAGTGCAAACAAACAGTGCCGGTCGCCAATTCCTCATTCCCTCATCTTCTGCCCGCTCTCTCTCTCCAATCTACCTTTCATTTTAGTATGAGAGGGCAGCTGCTGTCCTCTGCTGCGCTTGCTGTGCTTCATCAGTGCACTACACCTCACATTTGGTGCACTGGACTCAACAGAGAAAGAAGAACTGGACTGTGTGGCTGCCAGTCCAGTCCAGACAGTCATGATGGCAATCGCACCGCCGTCAGTGAGCTGACAACGACGACAAAGACGACGACGAACACTTTGCAGATTGTGAGGGAGTGAAGAGGAAAAGAGAGAGAGAGAGTGAGAGAGAGAGAGAGAGAGAGAGAGAGAGAGAGAGAGAGAGAGCAGCCACAGTGGATTGTAGGAGCAGCAGCAGCAGAAACAGATCAGCGCAGATTATGCTGCTGCTCTTGCTGCTGCTGCTTCTGCACCACAAAGGTGCACAGGTAGAATATGTGTGTGTGTGAGTGGACGAAAGAGACTAAGCGAAAAGCCTCCTTCTCTCTCTCTCTCTCTCTTTTCGAACAGTCAGCTAGTTGCCACTACCTTGTCTGGGTGCAGCAGGAATTGGCCGAATGTTGCCACCACCACCACCACCGTCTGCACAGTCGAAGCACCGACACAGTGTGCGCTGAATTGCCGCCGCAGTTAGTCAGTCAGTCAGTCAGTTAGTCAGCTCGTCGGTTGTCAGTTTTGAAGGTGGTGGAAGCTCAGTGTTTGCCTCAGTGTGCAATCGCTTGCCATCACTTCTAGCCTGCTGCATCCTTCTCTTCTCTTTTCTTCGCTTCTCTCCTTCTCTCCTTCTGACCGCCAGACTCAAACCTCCGAACCGTGCCCCAAACACATTACCACATCATTCACTGACACCTAGAAAGCGTTGCATTCCAATACTGTCAGCCGGTGTATCGCTGCATCTATTGAGGGTGTGCTCTGTCTTTGTCTTTTTTGTATCACATTTCACTCTCACTGTCACGCAAACCAGACAACAACGAACCTGCGATCACTGTCTGCTAGATGAATGAATGATTCAACGTTTGTTTTACCTGCTATTTTCTACCGGTAATTAACATCAGCTCTGCTTTGACATCGTCACTGTCACCGTGACATTGCATCTTCTGACCAGAAGAGTGCGGAAGAAAGATAGACAGCGACAGCAAAGATCAGGTGCAGTCAAAGTTCAATGTATGAATGTTGCTGTGATGATGACCAGTGACTTGTCAGTTTGTCAATGACACTAAACACGCAACGGCAGAGTTTTGTTGTTTACTTTGCACTTTTTTACCATTTCTTTCCGTCTGTGCTTCATCTAAACTTTAACGCAAGAAAGCGTTTTTTGAATATTCTATCGTCATCGTTTTTTTTCTCAAGTTTTTTCTCAACTCTAATGCTTCTAAGGTAATTGTCTCCGCTGAGAATGTCTCACTTGGCTGTTGGTCATTAATCAATTTTAAGTGCCAATTTCAGAATGCCAGAAGCTATTAGGTGATGTTTAGTGCACTTCAATGAGATGCGACATTTGAATTAGAGAGATGCTATTCTACATTGCTAATCTGCATAAAAATGCATTTTCTTTTAGCCAGTCTTTTTAAAATGAAGGCAGTCAATTTTATTATTTGCAGCTTACTATTTTCAAAGTTTAATGGTTTTCTTCTCTGCAATCTTCCACTGTTTTTACAGACTAATTTTAGCGCAATTATTATGCGACAGAATAGAATTATTGCAGTGCAAATGTGAAAAGAAAGTTTTGTCTTTATTGCCTCTTAATGCTTGCAAATAGCGTACATCATCTTTTTTGAGCTATCAAATAAACAGTCAATAACCCTTTTCTCAATTTTCGAGTTCAAAAGCTAAAATGGCTTTTAACAGTCGTGATGGCACTTAGAGCTAGCAAATTACATTGCTTACCAATACTACTGAATTGGTAATCGTTTGCTATTAATAAATTGACGCTATTGTCAGTCACTAATGCCTGACTATGATTTCTTCTGTTTGAACGTGTTTATAAATATTTGTACTATTTTGAAAATTCTGATAAATGCATTTATGTCTTTACAATTTAATTTTAATCTAAAAAACAACCAGATATAAACTTTTTACAACAATAGCCATTGTTTTAGAGCAAGCAAACTTATTTGACTGTTGTTGAACTTTTAAAAACTGCTGTCATGTCACCTACTTAGTTTTACTGTCACATTTCACTACTATTCATTTTTCATAGTCTTTTTTGTGGTTTCTCTGTGACCTAATATTGCCAGTTGCTAGCTTTTTGTAAACTTGTCTTGTTAATTTAGCATGAACAGAACAAAGCAATGTGTCGTGTTTAGTGTGAATTTATATTTCACTTTAAGCATCACCTTATAAAATGTCGTTTGCGTGTTGTTCACACATTTTTACAATTTTTGTTTCACAACTAAAAAAATATTGAGTGTTTGCTAGGTTTTCTTTATACCGAAACCCGTTTCAACATTGTTTTGTTGGGCAATCTAGTTAATTTGCATCCACTTTACTTATTTTAATCTTTTTTTTTCATACAAACTTCTCCTTTTGATATACTCTTTTCCCATGCAAGTTAAAGCAATTAGGAAAGAACAATCAATTGATCAGTTGATTGCTGGGCAGTAGACTCAATCGCCTGCACTACACATCTTCACAGTATGATTGAACCCCTCGCCAATTCATTTCCTACTTTTTCTACTGCCATTGTCTGCTACCATTTCCATCTCCTCAGTTCTCTGCTCATCAATTGCAATTACCCCTAAACAATTGATCACATGCCAAAACACAGTAGACAACACATTAAACTTTGATGCAATCGACAATACTGCAAAGAGTCGACCAGACGATTTTACTGGATGAGAGGGGCAGATAGAGGCAGAACTGAAAGGAAGAAGAAACAGAAAGCCTGACCGGTAATTAGTGCAAGTAGGAATCAATCAGACAATCACGAAAGTCGACCAGCCAATCGAGCAACCGATTGACCGTACGACCGGCTCACGGCATTTTTTCATTACAGCTCAACAGCAGCAGCATCAGCAACAACTGTAGCATTAATTTACCACACTAACGCAAGGGTTTCAAACAAAAAAGTATTTTAGATTAGACGTTTTAAAACGAGCATGATAAATTGATCTCTTACAGGTCAATTTATTAAAGCACCTTTGCTTGATAAATTGTCTGTTTGTGGATGATTTTTTATTGTTTATTAATTTGTAATATAAAATTTAAAAACTCTAAAAATATAAAGTTTAATTCTTTTGAGCAATAAAACAGTAATTTAATGTTTGTCATCAGCCATCAATTTTAAAATCTTTTAACTGCAAACTCTTCCCTTTACTGCAAAGCCAAAAATAGACATCATAAATTTTGTCACGCCTAAACTAATTTTTTCATTCTTTTTCGTTTTGGCAGATCTTCTTTCTCTCTTTCTCGTTCAGTTTTTTACTATTTTTAAGCATTTGAAAAACCGAGCATTTGTCATTCTTGCAACACATTAAAAATCAAAACAGTGTGACCTTGTTTTCACGACAAACCAAACTGAAACCGTCCTTGGTCAAACCGACAAACAACTCATCTACCAACAACATCAATTGCTTACAACTACTAACAAACGGAAAACAAAAAAAGAAGAACAGGGTCAAAGCAGGCAAAAAGTAGTGCAGCAGAAACATAAAAAGTGATAGCCATCGATTGCGGAAATTACACCGGGCAGAACTTTTGACAGAAAACAAGTTTAGAAAAACATATCTTTCCTCTCTTCTTTTAGATTGCGCTAATTGGTGTTAGTGTCATCGATTGTCGCTTTGCCATCTACCAACACAACACAACGAAGTGCAACAGGCAGGCGACACAAACGGACACTTGCACAAGCACAAAAACTGTTGCGAGGAAACATCCTAAAAAATCACACTGCACTTGTCCATATTTAGTCATTCTTCTCACTTTGTTTTCCGTCTTTTTTGTCGCCTATGTGACTGTTGCTTAACCTCCACACATCTCTCTCTCTCTCTCTGCTCCTTCTAACTGTCTTCTTCAACGCAATTCCCATTTCATTTTGCTCCCCGTGCCAACTGTAGTCACCAGCATAATATAGCTAATTGACTTGACCACCAACTTCGGAAACATCACACAATACAAACAATAAACTCCTTCTCACAAAAATGTCACCTCAACAGTTTTTCCTCCTGCTGAGCAGCCTGCTCCTCTTCCCGCTGGCCCTCGGTCAGCAGAATCCGACGATCTCTTTCATCACCAAGGAGCGCATCGCCTCCATCGGCGACACGCTGGACATCAGCTGTTCAGTGCAGTACGCTCGCAACTACCCGGTCATCTGGGCGAAGATTGACCGGAACAACCGCGAGAACATTCTCTTCATCAGCGACCGCTCCTCGCTGAGCATCCCCGACCACCGGTACTCCATTCGCCACGATGACGCCAGCTCCACTTACACGCTGCAAATTTCAAAGATTCAGGAAATCGACGCCGGCATCTACCAGTGCCAGGTGGCCACCTCGGACTCCTCTCGCGTCACTGCCAGTGAGTGCTTGCCATTGTCGAACCTTTTGACCAGCGGATAACAATTCAATTGACCACATCTTTATTCCTCTTTCCCCCCTCAGACGTGGACATCTACGTGCGCATTCCGCCCTTCATCTCTGACAACAGCACCCGCTCGATGATCACCTCCACCGGAGAGTCGATTCAGCTGGAGTGCTACGCCTCCGGCTACCCGCAGCCCAGTATCAGCTGGCGCCGCGAGAACAACGGCCTCCTGCCGACCGGCGGCTCCGTCTACAAGGGCAACGTCCTCATCATCCACAACATCACCAAGGCCGACCGGGGCACCTACTTCTGCATCGCCGACAACAACGTCAACCCGGGCGCCCGGCGGAACGTCCTCGTCGAGGTGGAGTTCCCGCCCAGCGTGCACATGGAGCGGAGCCGCTACGAGCAGGCACTTCGCTACGACGCCGACCTGCACTGCAGCGTGGAGGCCTACCCCGCGCCGACCATTCGCTGGCTGCTGAACGGCGTCGAGGTGCAGGACTCGGCCAACTACCAGATTGCCGTCATGCAGACCGCCCACGACTACGTCGACTCGGTGCTGCGCGTCAGGCGGGCCGAGCGGCGCCACTTTGGCGTCTACACCTGCAAGGCCACCAACAAGCTGGGCAGCAGTCAGAAGCTGGTCGAGCTGACCGAGTCCGCCAATCCCGTCTGCCCGCCCGCCTGCGACGGCAGCGCCGGCAGCTCGGGCAGCTATGCGGGCTTCGCCAGCGGGTCGACGTCTGTCCACCACCGCCACCACCATCAGCTTACTGCTGCACTGATGTCAGCCGGGCTCTGTGCTCTGATCTTTGCTCTTTCCAGACGATGAGGAGGAGGAGGAGGAGGAGGATGAAATGCGTTCAACGGAATTGATCTGGTGGTGAATTGAAAAGCAGTGTCGGACTGTGTTTGGTGAACCACCAAGCACAAGAGCTTATGTCTCTTTTTCTCACTTTTATTGTCTTTTTTCCCTTTCTCTCTCTCTCTCTCTCTCTCTCTCTCTCTCTCTCTTTCCGCATCTCAACCAATTGCAAATGCCATTTTTTTTTCTTTTTTCTTTCAGTCGCTCATGTTTTTGTCCACTTGTTCTTTTTTTTCTATTGTGCGCACACATTAATGTCAACTTTATTAGTTCAGTGACCACACACCTTCACAACACACACAAACACAGACGCAAACACAAGTAAACGCAGTAATGACTATTTTTTGTTTTTATATGCTCAAATTTTTTGTTGCTGCAAAATGATTGCTATTTGTATTTTTAGTAACACTGTATAATTTTTTATTTTTTAAAGCAGAACTTTGTCAATCTAATCTAAGCAATCTTTGCCACTTCAACACCATTTACTGCACAATAATTTACACAGACAAACTCAACTCAATTCACACTTCAGCTGCAATCTTTATTATTTTTATTGCCAATTTTTAACATTTTTTATACATACTTTTATAATTTAAAGTTTCAATAAGATTTAACATTTATTTCAATCATAATGTAAATTAATAAAAAAACAATATTTTCAAAAAAATAGTTTTTGTAAAAAGCGAAAAAAAATTTCCTTATTTTGTTCGCATACTCAAATGTTATTAATACGCACATCGCTGGAAAGGTAAAAATCCCCTGATTACAAATATGTAAATATCTAAATGGAGCCTCAAACGGCTCCCAAAAAAACCGGGTCCAAATTGTACCTTTGGCTCTGTTTCTTCTGTTGCTGTTTACGCCACCTAGTGGAGTGAAGCCACGGTGCTGTTGCTAAACTGCATGATTTGGTCAACTTTGAACCCAATTTTCTTGAAAACCGTTTTGGGCTCCATTTAGATATTTACATATTTGTAACCAGGGCGTTTTTAGTTTTCCAACGATGTGCGATTCAAAAACATTTGAGTATGCAAACAAAATGAAAAGATTGCTTTTGGAAAATTGTTTGCACTTTTTACTTCAATGTAAACTCGTGCATGACGTAAATATCAATAATTGAGTTTTTCATGTTTAAAGCTCCATCTGGATGCAAAAAAACAAAACTAAAAAAGTTTCTGAAGTTTTTGTTTGACTAACAAGCTCGGATTGTTGCTCACTCTGCATTGTCTTCAAAGTACACTGCAAAAGTTGTACAGCTCATCGGTTTTACCAGAAGTCACTCGTTATTTGATTAAGCTTCAAAAGGTAAACTTTTGTTTAGCTCTAAAAACATTTTTGTTATTTTACTACATTCTCTGTTAGCTGGTTTGCAATTTGATCTTTTTGATTTCGAAGTTTCTAACATATTTTTTCCTTTTCTTTTCACTCGCTCTTTCTCTCTATCTTTGCAAAGTTCTTTCTCAAAAACATGCCCCGAACAAAATGCTACTGTCCGCCTCAAGTGGACGCCACGCTGGTTGCTTTTTTTGTGC